AATTAGAGATGAGATGTTGTTCATTTTTATTTTAAATTAAATTAGAGACATGTGCTTGCCTTTTTTCCTGTTTATTGAGATATAATTCACATATCCTACAACTTACTCATTTAGAATGTATTTTCAATGGTCTTTAAGTATATTAACCATTCATCATTCACCCCACCTCCCTTCTTTTCCCCAGCCTTTAGAAACCATAAATCTGCTTTCTGTAGATTTTCCTATTCTAAACATTTTATACAACTAGAATTATACAATATGTAGTCTTTTAAGAATGGTTTCTTTCACATAAAGTAAGGTTTATCAGTGTTGTAATTTACCTTTTTCATTGCTCTTTTTTTTTTAATAATATTTATAGATTTACACTTTATTCAGCCTCAGCTGATGGATATTTGGATGATTTTTACTTTTTTTTTTAATATTATGGACACTGTTGTAACCATATGTACCAGTATTTTTAGTGAATTTATGTTTTCATTTTCTTGGGATTTTACCTGGGATAGAAATTGCTAAGTTTTATGGGAAACCTTTTGGAAAACTGCCACATGGGAATTGTTCTTCACAGTTCCATGTACTTGATTGTCAAAAAGAAAAACAAACCCAAAAAATCCTTTCTAGCAATGGACTTTAGTGCTAAGTTACAACAGATTTAAATAATGTCCCAGAAAAAAAATTGCACCTGTTGACCTTAACCACTAAACTAGGGCTCTCCCTTTCTAGAGTTATCTCTTTGACTTTAGACTTTGGGTTTGTAAAAGTGGTTTTGAGAAGGAAGCAGCTTCTACAGAGAGAAATGAATGATGTTGGAGAAAACTCCACTGATGTCTGAGTCCAAAAATCAGTGAGAAAAGATAATCCTTGGCAAGTTAATCCAAGCATTTATTGAGATTGTGCAGTACAGAGAGATAGCAAAAGAAATTTTTGATACAGAAACCCTTTTGTGCAAGCATCTTAGTACAGGAGAAATCTCAGACACATCCCTTGCCAGAACAGCCAAGAATGTAACCTAGATAGAGTTAGGTTTTAAGTCCAAGTTTCCTTTGACCCTCCCAGCTCTGGCTCGTTTGCCTTTCATGTAGTTTCAAGGGTAAGAGAGGAAGATCTGACAAGTTGACATTTAGATAGATAGAGGAAAATTTTCCCTTTTCTGGGTTTTTTTTTTTTTTTGAGGTACATATCAGTAACCTGATTTAAAACAAATGACTTTCAAAAAATGAAATATATTACCAGTAATTTTAATCACTAAAGATCTTTGGGCCTGGGGTTGATTTTGGAGTAAAATATGAAGCATAGTTCCAAAAGACTCAAAAATAAAATTGTGCAAGTGTATATAAACTGAAAATAGAATGTAGGTATTGAACTTGGTAAACAACTTCACTCTCAATGACTATCTGGTGCCCTGGTATATCCAAGACCCTGTTTTATAACTTCTACACTAAATAAGTGTTGTCTCTTAGTTTTTCAACTTTCTTCATTATATTTTTAAGATTTGTTTGTTTATGCATACAGAACTTGGGTACAGGCCAGAGGTGCAGGGGCAGTGAGAGGATTCACCGGAAACATGGGGGGAACAGAACAGGCAAGTAACAAAGTACACTGCTGAGGGGAGCAGCGGGAGAGACAGGAGAGGTCTGTTGCGCCATGTGGATCACCTCCAGGGCTGGGTATTGAACTCGCACTGAAGCAGCTGCGGCTAGCTTCCACTGATGTGCTTTAATCTGTTGCACCACCAGGGAGGGCCCTTCATTATTTTAGTATTTATTTCAACCTATGGAGTAAACAAATTTTAAATAAGGAAAGCAGTGCTGTGTATTGAATTTCACCTGAGTGTTTACCCCTTGACTTCCTTGCAGGGTGCGGTATATTTTGAACGTCACTCGAGAGATAGATAACTTTTTTCCAGGAGTCTTTGAGTATCATAACATCCGGGTGTATGATGAAGAGGCAACAGATCTCCTGGCTTACTGGAATGACACTTACAAATTCATCTCTAAAGCAAAGTGAGTAATGGTCCTGAACACATACTCTGACCCCTTTTTTTATGTACAACTCAAGGCTGGCCCTGAGAGCAATAAATAACTTCCTGATGGTACCCAAGAAGAAAGTAAAGAAAGCAAGAAACTGAGATTCCCTAATATTAGGGGAAAGATGAATAGTAAGTTAATACTTTTCTTCTAAGGAAACCCCCGCCTAGAAGATGATGACCTCATCTTGGCTATTTCCATTTAGCACAAAATTGGAGAAAATAAGCTGCAGGGAAAAAAGCAGAAACAAGAAAAGGAAGATATTCTAAAAGAAATGTTTACATTGCCAGTGGGGATATTTGAAAGTTATGTAACAGAATTTATTCTAAATTGGTAGTATACAAGCTCTTCCTCTCTGAGGAAAGTGAGAGAAGAGCAAATGAATTTTGGAGGTCTTTTCCTATTCTTTTACTTCATTTTTGTGATACTCTGAATCACGGAATTTTCACTAGCCATTTTGTTGATGTCTTCTTTAAATTAAGGCGTCCTTTCAGTGAAACCATTTAATCATTTAATTTAGTGTTTAGTATTATGTCAGTACTGATTTTTTAAGTCCCTGGGGGTTACCTTGACGCTCCTATTTATTCCTTTAATACAGGGAATCATAAGTGAGTGTGTTGACCTTGTTCCCTTTTCAGTTGGAACCACATTCAAATCATCCCTGGCAGTTGAAAAACACTTTTGTTTTTAAAGTTCTCCCTCAAGGATAATTCCACACCTCTCTTAAGCATCTCATGGTCTGGAAATTCTTTTCTTAGTTACCCTGAATCCATATATTCTAGCTTCAGTCCTGTCCTTCAGTCTCAAGCCAACCACTGAAAGACTATTTTATATTCTTAAAGCCTAATATTAAATTCGTCTCAATAATAATATTGTTCGTGGCTTGCTCTCCGTGTAATACTTTATATATAATCTCTCATGTAATAATTTCCAAAACCCAGTAACAGTTACTGTCATCCTTCTGTGCAGATGAGGACTATAGAGATGCAGATGGGATGTAAGATTGTGTCTCATTTCAGAGCTCATCAGTATATGGAAATAATCTAGTTCCTTAAGGAAATTTAAAAAAGGGAAACTTGGGGCCCTCCCTGGTGGCACAGTGGGTTAAATAAAGCACAGCACTGAGAAGCTAAAGCCACTTACGCATGAGTTCAATTCCCGCCTGCCC